AAGATGCAAGAAGGAGCCAAGTGGATTGCAACCATCTGTGCAGAGCTTGTTGAGTGTTATCCCCAGTGCCGGATTAAGCTCGCACAGGGCCTGTAGCATATGTTATGAAGGGGCCCTAATTTAAAAAAATAACATGCAAATATTAAAACACAAACTTTTAACTTGCATAGTAAAGTATTTGTATTTTTTAATTTGCGAAACGAACAGATAATACGACAAATCGCTAACCTTAAACACCCAGTCGTTCATAAAAGTTGAAGGTGGTATAGCACTACAGTAATAGAGCAAGTGCAGAATCACTGAACCGGAATTGATAGCTTTAAAGCATTTCGCGCGGGGCCCTTAAAAGTGCGGGGCCTGTAGCATATGTAGCTACTTGTGCTACTGGGATAATCAGGCACTGGTTCTCCTCCCGTATGAAGTGTGGTCTCTCTCAGCACTCTGTTTTCCTGCCACTCAGCAATGGAATCGGCACTTCGGACTCAATGCTGGACCCCACCCCCCTCATGCAAGAGGTTCTTAAGACTCCGTGAGGATTTTCTGGTGAAACAAAGAGCATCATCATCGACAACCCAACAACAACAAAAATGTTTTTTAAATAAAAACAATCGGCCAAATTAATTTGATCCCAAAAACAAGCCGTGAACATTTCAGCACAGGTAACGGGAGGGGGGGGGGGTGGTGTGGGGGGTGGTCTGCAGAGTGTGACCGCGACGTCAAAGCCTCGCTGCGGTTGTAAATTGGGACATCGGCAGAATGGCTCCAGTGGCTCTAAAGGGTCGGGATTTACCGCGAGGTGGGAAGGTTGCGAGCATGTGAGCAGAGGAGCATTTTCCTAGCACAGCTGTGATATATAAGCAAGCATGCTGTCAGCGCCGGGGTAAGCAGCTTTTACTGGGCCCGCCAAGTGTTCCCCAGGTGCTCGCTTGCTGATGTGTGTTTGTCCGTGCATGCGCACACGCACGTGTGTGCGCGAGCTTGTAGAAATCAGTGTTGGTGCGTGTGTGTGTGCGCGCGTACAATTTCACGTTCGTTTGCGTTTGTGTGAGCACGTTGCTGTGTGCACGTGTGTGTGTGTGAGGGGGGAGGGATGTTGGAGTGGTTAGCGCACTGCACTATGAATCCAGCGACACGAGTTCCATTCCCTCTCATGACCAAAATCAGTGGTGAGATCTGAACCGGTCCTGGGCCTCCCCTATATCAACTTAATAATAAATGAGCACCTTGTGCAATGTGGAGACATCAGCACGAGAGAGATGAAGGCGTCCAGGCGTGGTGTTTGACACACACCTCCTCGCGTGCTGTGACAACCTTTGTCGGTGTTCATTAAAAGCACTTGCCCCAACAGCCTGTGTGTCTACACGGGGAACCTTTGTCTCTGTTTTTTTAATGAAGAAGGCTGAGTGCCATTCAGGCACGTCTTTGAGGAACCAAAGGCGTTACCCATCAGTCTGGCAATCATGCACCTTCTAGTTATAATGCGATGAAGGGAATATTAGTGTGTTGGAGTATGACATTGTATCTGATTAGATAGAGACAGGTGATAAAGACCCTCTTAATGGTGCGTGCACGTGTCTGTGTGCATGCGTGCGTGTGCGTGTGTCTGTGTGTGTGTGCGTGCGCGCGTGTGCGAGGTGACCTTTGAATGCGACGACTTGCTAATACACACACCGCACCAGATGAAAATGGAAATACTGCCGTGTGACCTTGGCTGCCTTGATCATGCGATGGAATCCCAGAAAGAGAGGGGTATGCAGGAAAACCCATCGCAAGGGCATCCTAAATCAGTGTTCAACAACATCAACGCCGCATGCGACGAGAACGACAAGGACGACAATGTACAGCCATTCATAGGTGATGTACCCTGTTCACGTGCCACTGATGTTAGCCGTGGGCAGGAGGCAAACTCAGCTTGCTGGCTTCGTAGAGTAGTTCGCTATTAGGGGCAGACTTCATTTAGTTATTTTTACGACACTTGTGTATACCCCCGACCACTACATTTACTATAATACGTATAACCAATCAGAATAATTTACTGTACTGCCATATGCCTATCCACTGCTATAAGGAGGCTTCCGCATGCAGTGTTGGTCCGCGAGGTTCTTTGACCATACTTCACCAAGCTGGTCGGGGCAGATTGATTAAGGGGTGGGGGGGCAAGACCTGTCCAGATATCACGCGCTACTCTAATTAGCAATGGCTGAGATTCATCGCCCAGTCTGCTCGGCACCGCTCCAGTAATATATGTACACGTACGCATATTTACTCTTTACTTTTAATGTAGGCCAATGCTCTTATGAAAAACCTTCTTCAGCAATAGCATGTTTCGCCACCGCCACGAGAACGAGTAACTTGCACCAACGGATCACGGTCGTCGACGAGCATGAGCGCCGTCTCATTGCTCGTTGGAGCAGAGCGACACGGCACGTTGACGTCAGGAGTGAACTTTAGCCCGACCCCCTAGGCCTGGCCTCCATGCAGCTGCACAGACTGCACACTCGATAGCTAGCGCACCGGTTGACGTTGACGCGAGTCGGCGGAGTCCCCTTCATCTGTCTGTCTTTGAGAAACCTAACAGGCGTGGTGGAAGCTCCACTCCGCACGAAGGGTTTTTTTGCCGGGGGACGCAGGCCAGCGTCCGCTGCTTTGGCACGTGCACCGCGGAGGTCCGCAAACCCCCCCGCAGGTACAGGGCGCATTGTTTAAGAGCCTGTCGCAGCGCCGCAAGGGCCAACGGCGACACCGGTCATTACAGCGTGCAATTCTAAGACCCAGGAGATTGGGAAACAATACGCGGCGCACGTTCGCACACCATCTGCTCATCCGCAAGTGGTCTTGGGAGGCAGAGAGCGTCTAGAAGGAAGCGTGTCTCTGGGCCTTGGGAGAGAGTCATCGCAGTGTCCTCTTGGGGCGGGCGGGGGGGAGGGGGGCATAGTAGGGGGTGGGATTCGTGGCCTCGGGGGTCCGCGAGGATCGTTAATCGATTGGACCACAGCTTTGGGACGCGTTATTATACGCCCGGCATTCGTGGCTAGAGCCCTCTCATCGTGTCTGGGGCTTACTGGCTTAAAATACAACCTTAGCCCCCCTTAGCAAACACAGTTTATGTTTTCTCTGCTTAATTGGTTTCACGTCAACGTCCGCTGCGGCTACGGCACACGCAAACAAAGTGGGGCTCAGTCACCGCCTCATTGTACAGGGCGCGCACGCGACTTTAAATGAATCCACTTGGCGCACAGACACGTACTAGCAGATAGGGCCTTGCTGTAAACAAGCCGCAGGCAGCTTAACATTCCTGCTTGATGCACCTCATATAAAGAAGCTTTGACAGTCTAAAAAGAAAAAAATGCATGCACTCGATCTTTTTGGACACACCATTGTAGTTTGTCATGACAATTTGAGAAAAGCGCCCAGTAGATAACACGGTTACATTTGCTCCAATGGCCTTTTCAGTGGCTCCTTTGTTTTTCCCTACGAGTCACTGGCGACACGGAAATCCATAAGCCAAGGATGCGGCGGGCGTACTTCCCGTCGGAGGCCGCGGCGTGAATGACTGAGCAGCGACACGGCTCTGACCTTGCGAGGAGCCATTATTGCATTACAGTCAACAAATGCGAAGAATAAATACGCCCGTGCTATTGAGCGTACCGGCGTGGGCCCATCAAACGGGCAGGGGGATTCAAAACACGACAGCGCCATTCACAAACGCGACAGCGCGATTCATTAGGGTCCCGAGCCGAGACGGGCGGGCATTGTGCGACGGCGCACGGCGCAGAGAAATGGCTTTCCGCCAGATCCGTGCCATTTAATACGCGGGGTAATCTTCTGCGGAGCATGTCACTCTTATCTAGGCTTTTTCAAATGAGCAGGCCCGTCTCCGCGTGTTTTTTTTTTGCTGGGAGGGGGGGGGGTTGGCAAGTTAATTCAATTGGACCTTTTTTTTTTCTCCCCGTCGTGGTATTAGACATCGCACGCTCTCGATGGGAAGCATCAAAATGACAGCCACTCACGGCTCTAATGCGTACCTCTGTGCGTAATTTACACCGCTCCGTCATCCGCCTTATGTTTGAAAAACCTTCTTTATTTTATTCCCCACCTTCAGTGCAACCACTATGCAATTGCGCTGCTGTGATCAGATTACCACTGGTAAATAAAAGGGTGCACCGCAACCATGGTCTTTTGAATAGCATAAAAAGTGAAATAAACGACACACAAATGAAAGCCCCTAAAAATGTAACACCACCATAAAGTAGTGGGATTAAGGTTTTCTAAAATATGTGACACTCTAACTTATTTCTTCACTTAATAAAAGCTCAGATGCAGGATAACCCTGTCAATTTATTTATACACTACGCATACGTAAGTATATATATATATTTATGCATCTGAAAATCGTGCCCTTTAATCAAATCTACACCTGCTATGGGAGAACATCAAAACTCAATCCTACTTGCTGTGCCGCCTAATGGAGAACACCTCAGGGCCTGTATAAGTGGGGACTTGCACTCAGAGGCTCCAGGCTCCACCTCTACACAATCAGGCAGTCAGGTTGATCGATTGATGATCCAGCACTCACTGATTCACTCCATTCACTGGATCACCAGCGGCCAGTCGCCTCCTTATCGCTCTCATTTTGCTACGACGACCATGGCGCTGTTCCAACGAAGGCCACTCATTGAATCCTTCACAAATGCTGAGGACTCGGTCGACCAGACTCACCGTTTCATCTCATCCGCCACAATGCTTCATCCTCGCACTGCTCCGTTTTCAAGTTTCCTCCCATCGTCTGCTTTCCCAAGTTCTGTCAATCTCGCTTAATTCAATGCAAGTACTAACTGATATCTATTACACCTTAAATGCTGTTGTTTTACTTGCTGCTACGCACGTTTGGGCCTTTGGGCCTTTGCATGGCAAGTGTGAATAAATGAAGAGATCGATACATTTCTGGCTCGGTGGCGTGAATCGTGAGCCCACCGAACTCCACCACCGCATGCCCTCACCTGCAGCGTGGCCTCCGACGGCAGGCGCAGCTTCTGCTGGAAGAGGATGCTCATGCTGCGGTTTTGCTCCTCCAGGTCGCATACGCGCGTCCGCAGCTTCAGGCACTCCTCGCGCAGGTCCTGTCGAGAGGCCAGGGCGCTTCGTCGGTCACCAGACCCATCCCGCGGCCTCCTCAGGACTCGAGGGACACCCCCCCCCCCCCCGCCCGGCACGCACGCACGCCGGGCCGGCCGCTCCGGAGTCACGCGTGGGGCCGAGTGAAACGGACCGAGGGCTCGCCGAGCTCCCCGCCAGGGTTTGTAAAACCTTTGCGAATGTACGGGACGTGTAAATGTTATCCGGTCTTTCGCGAGAGCAACCTAATAGGTTTGTATATACGTACCATGTAGAGGCGAGTATCTACTCGTGTTTAAATGTATGTATACATGTATACGTGCCTCTCGGTATCATTATTATTATTTAGGTGTATGCGTGTGTGCTACAGTGTTAACACTACAGCACTTGGAAGACAAAGACAGCCAGGGGTGGTGTTGGTGACCTCACCCCCCTCATGCCTTAATAGGTGCTCACTAATAGCACTTTCCTTAACAGACTATAATGCTATACGTGGAGCTTAGTCTTTTTATTTATGTAGATTTGGTATATAGCTAAGCAGCCATAATATATCTGTAATATATATGTAAGTATTTATTTATTTAAACATTGTGTGCACGTATAATGCAACCTTCAAAAATGGCATAACGAATTACCAAACACAAGTTAAATTATACTCTTTGGTTCTTTCGGTAAAGTCACGTAGGTAGAAAAAGTAAAATTACAAAATAAACAAACAATACATCTTCTTCTTACATTGGTCTCTCCATATATATACAATTATTTCTTGTTTTTTTTTCTACACCAATTCAACGCAAGTTCATGAAACTCCTGGACCTTGCCGGGGAAGTCACACATTCAAGCAAGCCATCGCAGATGCGCTCTGTCGTGTCACGCAGACGTGTGAGAGCTCGGTAAAACAATAAACATCGGCGAGAAGAACACACTGCAGATCTGTCGGCAACGCACGCCAAGAGAAATGTTTATGGGCGGACGGGCGAAGGTGCGGACATGAACGATTAGCAGGGGGTGTTGCGGAGTGAACTGACACGAGCCACTCGCCATGCCCACCCCACACAGCAAGGCGCACAGCGGTGAACAACGCGCACGGCGGTGAACAAGGCGGTGAACAACGCGCACGGCGGTGAACAAGGCGGTGAACAACGCGCACGGCGGTGAACAAGGCGGTGAACAAGGCGCACGGCGGTGAACAAGGCGGTGAACAAGGCGGTGAACAAGGCGCACGGCGGTGAACAAGGCGGTGAACAAGGCGCACGGCGGTGAACAAGGCGGTGAACAACGCGCACGGCGGTGAACAAGGCGGTGAACAAGGCGCACGGCGGTGAACAAGGCGGTGAACAACGCGCGCACGAAGCACGCACAGCCTCGTGCCCAGGTCTTGCTGTGTGCACGACGGGAAACGGCGCTTTGAAGGCCCTAAGCAGACACGATTTGTGTCACGTGACTACAAATATTGCATTGTGGACAAGATACTTAATTATACCACACCCGTGTGATATAATTTGTGTAATGTAATATTAACTGCAATAAAAAATATTTTTAAACGCTGTTGTTGCAATTCCAATCTGTTCATGACAACAGAAAATCCATCACAACTGAAACATTGGAAGCAGGCTATAAACACACAGATTTAACAATGCACACAGGTGCACATTGCATGGAAAACGTTACCAGCCTTGTCCAAACCAATAGCTGAAAAGAACTGACTGTGGCCATTTTGATATTTAGACCACTATAAGGTCGAGAGAGCTTTTTGTAGATGCAATGGACACCTCTGTGTGTGGTTAAATCTAAGCATTTTTTTAATGAGCTTTTATTTTAAATTTTTATAGTGATCATAGTTCGAGCTGATAATTGGTGCACCCCTATCTTTCATACACCTGGGGCCCTTGATCTATTTGTGGCCATAAACCTTTGCTTAGTTTACTTATGGGCAGTGCCACCACTACATGCCAGGTTTCGCTGTACCCTGATGTCACTTCCAGTGAAAATATGAACACGTTCATTGCTCTTCAATGTGCTTCAAAAATATTATATTTTAAATTTGATTGGCAATTAGATTAAAAAATTCGACCTTGTATTGATGTGTGTTTTCTGGTGAAATAGACCCCCAAAAATTTGACCAATATGACAGGAAAAAATTCAAACTCAATCTCTCTGAGTTAAATAATAAGCTGACGAAATATTCTCTTGGAAGTCTCACGGGAAGCCAAGGCCTCATTAACAACACAGAATGGCCCCGGAAGATGGTACACTAGAAGTGCTTCTGGTGTCACTTCAACAGGCCTCTTATCCTTCATCTGACATATTTATGACTTTTAGTCTTCAAAGGTGGGCTAGGCCAATTAAACGCCATATTTATTTCAGGGTTTTTTTGTGCAGACATGGGTGACTAGGGCTGAGACAAACAAACACGCATCAAAAATGTAAAAAAAACTAAAGTCGCATGTGCATTTTAGTTTGCTTACAAAATTTATTTTTAAAACTCAGAGGTGACCAAGCGAACCAAACACATTGGCTATTTTAGAATTCGTGATTATTTTTTTTTTAAATCACAGCTGCTGTGCCACAGGCCAAAAAAGACGAAAAAGCCAAGGGCCCAGACTTAACGGTCACCGCCCTACGATGACGTTACATCAGCGTCTGTTACCGCAAGGTCAGCAAATACCCACCCACCTTCTGTGTGAGGAGCGCCTGTACCACCTGGTTGGCAACCTGCGGCGAAACACACCACAGCAGAACGTGAGGGACCGAACGCCACCAATGGATTTGAATTTGCCATGCGGATGCGAGAGCGACAGGGACGATGAACGGCTTAGACTTGCCCGGCTCACGAGGAGGAAACTTAAAGGAACACTGCTCCTCAGCACGTTCCCAACTTCCAGCCATTCTCAATCCACCAATGGATGAAGGACTCCACATGTCATCTCGGTCATAGAGATATTTTGACCTTTCCTCACCATGCTGGTACGCGCGAGTTGCTGAAGGTTGGTTAAGATAGGATCGGCTCCCATTCAATTCACAACTGATGTTTGCCACGGCCGGGAATCAAACTTGACGGACACTTGGTTCACAGCACAGCGCACTGGCCGGTTTACCACCACTCCGCACGCTAGGACAAAAATAACATTTCATTAACACGATTCGGTGCGGGGGAGAACAGGCGGGAGGGAGGGCGGGCGGGCGGGCGGGCGGGCAGGCGCGGTGCGATTGACTGCGCGGCATTTTTCCGGATGACCCTGGCATTTCAGTTCCGCTCCTGCCCCTCGCTTTAATTGTGTTGCTTTATTTTTATTTATGTATATATATAGTTTATGCATTCCCTTTTATAGGTCCCTGTGATATTTATGACAAAAGCCAACCCACGGCCCACCAGGGGACGCGAGGCGCTGCCCAGCAGGGTAGCGCCACGAGCCGCCGTGACGCGACGCAGGGGAGGGGACTCGGACAAAGGCTTCGTCTGCTCCACCACTCCCACGAAAAATCCAGCAGCGCCAAAAATATCAGCTGCTCTGAATGTCAGACTGCGCAGGGAGGAGGCCAGACCAACGCCGGTTAGTCAGAGGTACGACTCAATGTCTATTGATCTGAGATTCAATGGCTATTGATCCACAAGTCAGATTAAAACTTGTTCAGAAAAACACAGCTGACATTCTGGCCGCCGTGGATTTCAAACTTCAAACAGTTAGAAATTATCTTTGAATAATAACAGATTATCCGTGACATCTGCACGCTCGCTCGCGGCAAAAAAGGTCATGTGTTAAGCTAGTTTGGTGTCCCAATTGGCATACAAACAATACTTTGACGATTGCCCTCCTACCGCAGCAAGATATCAACGCACAACGCGTGGGTTTTATGTGCGACAGGCTCATCCGTGTTTGGAACCGCGACAGCTTTTGTTCTGCACAAGCGAAAGCCGCCGGCCGTGTGAACATCGTTGGCCGCACGGGACCCCCGCGATCTGCATGTCGACGTGCGGCCGGCGTGGGTGCTGCGAAACTCGCCGTGGCCGTGACCTCGCACCGCGGAGACGGCGGGAGGCTAAGCGGCGGCGGTGACGACAACCCGGCGCCTCGCTCATCGCGGGGCCTCGAGCCCTCCCGTCCGTCCGCCCGCCCCTCCCCTCCCCTCTCGCCCTCCTCCCCCACCGACAATCCTCACTGCATCGGGGCAATTAACCGAGTGTGGCGGCCTCCCCTGGGCTGAGGGTTAATGTGAGAAAGGTCCTGGCGGACATGCCCACCGGCGATTAAGAGAACTCACGGTGAGTGAGGTTTACCGATATGGACCCTGCGACGCCGCAGCTCCTTCTGCTGTTTACCGCCCACTCGGCACGCCGCGACTCTCCCACCCCTCTCTCGAGTCGATCATTTGTCACGATTCATTGATCAGATTCAACCCAAGTCCTTTTGGGGTTTTTCGCATGTAAAATTGCGAAAGACGCAGCGTCCCAATTGGCTGCAGGGGCCCCCACGAGAACTGATCCCATACAACGCCTACGAATCAAACACAATTGACTCGTGCGCACACAATTTGACGTGCGTATCGCGAGGGATCGAGATTATTTTCAGGGACGAATCGACGCGTCGTTCCACGCCCCCCTCAAACCGCCGTGCGCCGCTGGCCGACTCGGCACTGCGAGTGAGCGAAGGGTGGGGGGCGAGAGGGGGGGTGGGGGGGGAAGGGGGGGGGCCCTGAGGTGGCGGAGAGGCGGCGCTGCTCAGCGCGGCGACGACGGCGAGTGGCGATTGGGGGGTTACCTCGTCCAGGCAGCGCTCGTACTGATCCCGCTGGCTCTCGTTCTCCAGAGACAGCGCCGAGTTCTGCGCCTGCGACAGAAGCGCACGGCGTCACGCGCGCTCAGCACCAACGCCCCCAAGTCCACAGCCACATCCCCCCCCCCGCACACTGTTGGAGGGGGCTCAGCACCCCCATCCTCATTCACCCTCCTCTGTTTGTTGTCACCTTTGATTCACCAGGAGATGAAAAACAGTGGAGGCAGTGAAACAGAATTCGCTCTTGTGCAAGGTCGGCCCCGGGTTGGGCGTCACGTCACGGAAGGTTTTGAGAGCAATCGCGGAATGCGCGGTGGACACGAGCGCACCGTATCGTTCCTCGTTCTCTTAAAGATTACGTTTGGTTTCAACTTTGATCGTCACTGACGGAGTTTTTGTACATTCCCCTCCCACGCCACCCCCCCCCCCCACAAAGCCCCAGGCCTCTTAACAAGGTCACACGGCAAGGTCGGAGCAGCATTGTCACCATCGGCATGAAGACCTCGGCACAAATGCCAACGAGGCAGGAGCTGGCCGAGTAAAGAGCGATGTCGACGATGATAATGATGCTAACAGCCACGTGTTGCACCAAGCCCTTTTACAAAGCAAAACGTTGATCGGGAGTGCAGAAAGCCCCTCGTGCATTCCTCGCCGCTTCTCAACGCACTGCAGCCCGAGCATTGCGAGCGCAGTTGTAGCCACAAGCGAAACGTCTCGGTACTCAAATTGTAAACGTCGTGCGTTTATGCTCCAAAACACAACCGGTTAGTGCTGAACTAGTAACGAATTGGCACCTTTTGTTTACGTGACAAACCTGACTGATTGGGCTGTGTCGAGTGATGGTGAATTTAAGAAACATTTATATTAACGCGACCTCAACCAACAACAAAGAGTGGTGGACCTTTCCCCCGACATCCCTGAATCGCCGTCACCCCAGCCGAGTTGAACACGGGGGCAGCCTGCTCCCATTGTGATGTCATTCTGGCCTCGGCGGTTAAGCACAACCCGCTTCTGGCACCGTGATAAGACTTATTGTTGATAACGACGCCATCCTCGCACATTAAGGTCTTGAGCCGAGGGAACAACACGGATATAATGTCCAGGATCGTTGGCCTTTAACTCTGTGTTAGGAGACAGGGGAAATGAGTTTTCACAACCTTTTGTGATTCGCAGCAAGTTGGATTTTTAGTCTTGCCACGTAAAGACCCTCTGGGCGCGATAGATGAAGTTACTGGATTTAATCAAACGTCCTATCGGGCTGGTACAACAACACACGGTAGTGACATCACTGCCTGGATACCAACTACCCATTAAAAGAAAAAACATTTTAAAAATGCATTCCTCACAAGAGTGTGTTATTGTACCTTTGTACGCCAATTAAATGTTGTACAAATCAAACTTTTCTTCATTACGGCCCACTGACAAAATTCGGTTTTCTCTTGCTTGAAAACGAGCGAGACCAAAAATCGTTAACCCGGTGGCAGAATCAATAACATCTGTAAAAACAAACCTTGACAACTTCTTTGTTTTCGTTTCTGGAGATTAATTACTTTGCGCAGGCACTTGGGCAGGCTCCCTGATTGGTTGTCGGATGTGATTAAAGTGCCGGGTCTCATGAAAGCCACGGTGGGGCACCCCGAGCCCCGCTCCGGCCTGATTCCCTGCCGCAAATTAAATCACGTTTAACGCACTAAACATATCACCTAATGAGCCCAAAATACTTTACAATCTACGAGAAGGAAGCCCCTGCGAGCCGTGCCGTGACGGGACCGGGTGTGGTGCTGAACCAACACGATTTTACGATTTATAAACGGCAAATTAAGGGTCATTCTCGAAAGGCACATTCACCAGGCGAGGCCGGGAAGCCATAGAGGGAGCCGATATCGCGATCCGCGTCAAGATTTACACGCGCGGACGAGCGGCAGCAATCGTGTCCAGACCAGGGCTTTCAATCCGCGTAGCTCGAGATTTCGAGTGCACGATAACAGCGTCCACGTCGAATGTGCCCAGTGGCAGAAACGAGCGGCAACAAATCTCTTTGTTCGTGGTGCGCTCGTGGTGAGCGGCGAGGCCACGTGCGGAGAAACTCGTTGGGCAATGTTTTCCAAAAATGTTTTTCATGTCGTTTGCATGCGACCTCGCAATATTACAGAGATGCCTCTCCATTCGAGTGAGAGAATCACAGGGTGATACAATGCACAACGATCCCCCGTATAGCCTGCACAGGCTGTTTGAGCAAACACTGTTTGCAAGCACCTCTTAGGCCTGGCATGGCACACGAGAATACACCAAAAAGAACACATCCTACTATGTAAGAATATTTTTGCTGGCTGGCTTGAAGTCTGGCTGGCTGGTGCACAGGCGAGCACGTTTATGTCTCGCCTTTGTATCCCCCGAAAGTGCACGGGCAGTGATGATAATGCCCTTCATTCGTAAAGAAAAACCACAGATAGATATATTTTTGTTGCCTATTCATTCACAGTGTTTTCTATGTGGCAGGAAACTCGGGGTGCCCAGAGACAACACACACACATAGTGAAAAAAACACTCTGAGGGGTCCTACATCCCCTGGTCACCTCGCAGCCCTAGCCTACATGCCCTGGTATTCCTAGGCATGCTCCCATTAAAGTACTAACCAGGGCTCAACCCTGCTTAGCATTCGTTAACACAAAATACGGACGATAGAGCAAGCGGTCTCACTCAAGTACGCGAGTTCACGGGACGCACACAACACGTGCGTGGCAACTTGAACTACGACAAATGAAGGCTACTTCAAGCTAACGCACGCGTGAACTCAAATGCAAAGAGACTACACCTCGCTGGATACATCATCTGCATCGCCGTGCCCCGGAAAGGCACTGGGGAAACAAGAGAAACAATCCCGGTGTCATCCGTTCACAATGACGCATGACCCCGCGTTGACCTTTTCTGCAGCAGTGGCAGCACATCGTTTGGTGGGGCAACTTTGTCTTTTCCAACGTAAGCTGCTACTGGATCATTTGCGCTCCCCTCATTACCTCCACCTCCTCGCACTGCCTCGCACTCTCCTCATTACTCCCGCTGCTTCCTATTACCACCACCACCACGTCCTGCCAATGTCTCCATTACTTCACAACACCTCCTCTGTCACCTCGTTATAGGAAACTCATCATCACAATTCTCCATCTCCCTGCCCCTCTACATCCTTGAATACCTTTCGCTGCTTCTCCCTCCATCGTGTGTTCACCATCACCACCTCTAACTAACCTTTATTGCAATTGTACTATGATCAGTTTAAAAAGTATATGCCCGAGTTGCATTGCGCTGCAGGGAAACTAATTATTTAACATTGATTCATGTTTGTGCAATGTCTTCTATTTCTCGTGAGACGTGGTCGTGTTTGTGCCGACTTGTGTTCTGCACCATGGCTGTACTTTATGTTTTATTTGCTTTCGTCATTCATGTGACCCAGGTCACTCCTGCGAGTGAGAGTCAGCCTGGTCTACCGAGTTCTCGTCAACATAAAATGGAACTTCCAGCCCAGCAATTGCTCCTCCTTCCTCACGTGACCTTATCCATCCTCATCATTACCATCACCTCTTCATTCCTCTCTCTACCCCCACCTCATCACGCCAGGGCCTCATGCTCTGTCCAGACTGCACTCTCCTCCGGCCCTAATGAGGCCAGTGGCTGCTGTGAGTATTTTGTCATCCACACATCCAAGCGCAATACCTATTCGGTTTGTTTGATTGCCGCGCCTGTTTGTTTATTCAAATAAAATTACGCCATTTGTTACACGGTGACAAGCAGTCTCATTAAGACTGCATTTTAAATATCGCGCACCGCAAAAAAGAAAAAGACGATACATAGCGTGTAGAAATAAATCCTTTCCGCTCCGCGCAAGCAACCAAGCAACGGAATGATGAAATGAAAATTCCACTCTTTATAACCAATCAAAGGTGAGAAAATCCAAGGCGCTCCGTTGAATTAGACCCCATCGGTGCTCAGCTCTTTAAAAAGGCTCTGTGTTTGAGGTGTAAGCGCACGTATGTGCAGATTTCCTGGTTAAACACCCGCGTGTAGCTTTTGGCGGTGACCTTGCCGTGTTTATTTTCGTAACGTGTTTAATGAGCAATGTTTCACTTCCTGCTCACGAACCATGCACTCCTTTGCTGGACTCTGCAAAGAGAGCCCAATGCCCGCACACATCTGATATTTAAACATCTGCCTTTTTGTATCTGAATTCAGAAGTTGTCCATTGTGGACCAACTAATTTGTTACTTATAATCGGTATTCAATAAATTTAGGCGCTTTATTCACATTATATTTGTTTTAATATATATTTCCATAAATTGTATATCTTTTTTACTGCCCCTTGTTAGGAGATGCCTTTCAGTCACTACGCATGGCTGGTGTGGGTTGTTACGGGGGGGGGGGGGGGGGGCGTCCTCCTTCTGACACCACTCGCACCTCCGATGAATACGGTTGGCGACATATGGTGTGAAAGAAGTTCCACATACGTACATCGCCTGCTGGTGATGTTTGCCGTGGCTGAGAATCAAACTCGGGTTTGAGCTTCCATGGACCAGTGGACAGAGTAGCCATCACTCCTGCACTACTCCCTCACACATGAAATGAGTTTATATGAAACTTTTTTTTATCACATTTACCTTCTCGTAAAACTTAACAGCTTTGAAGGGAAAAAAAATCTCAATGAAAGTTCTTGCTATGACAAGTGCTATCCTTACATGAAGGCCATACTTAAAATATTCCCTTTCTTCTCAGTGACAGTAAAAAAGAATCCTCACTAATTTTGTATTTTTTTTTATTCAACCTGTTCATTGTATTTTCACACCAATTCTCTGAACCATGTGCGACATAATTTAAATACTAAAACAGTTTGTTTTTCTAAAGGACATATATATAAAATACCATTTTAAAGCCATCTCTTAGCAATGCCACTCTTGAAGCTAGGTGCATTTTTCATCGGCGGCTTTGAATCAGTAAAGGGGGTTGTTTGTCCATACTCCACCACGGCTGGCTGGTGTGGGTTGTTAACGGGGGTGGGCCGTCCT